TCTCCGATACCTCTCTCTCCTTCCTGGACCTCTGTCTCCATCTCGAAACCGATATCTACTTCATGCCCACCGACTCTCACAGCTACCTAGAATACACTTCTTCTCACTCACCTTCCTGCAAGGATGCGACCCCCTACTCCCAATTCCTCTGCCGCATCTGCTCCCAAGATGGGGCGTTCCACTCCCGAACATTCCAAATGTGCTCTTATTTCCAAGGACCGCAACATCCCCCTTTCGCTGGTCGAAAATGCTCTTGACCTCATCTCTTGTTTTTATTGGGGGGAGTGGATGTGAGGGCAGAGGTGCAGGAGATACAAAAGACAGAATCCCACTTGTCCTCACATATCACCCCACTAACCTCCGTATTCAAAATGTACCATTCTCCATCACTTCTGCCAACTGCAATCCTACCCCATAACCAAAGATATATTTCCCACCCCACTCCCATCTGCCTTCCATAGGGACCACGCTCTCCACGACTCCCTCATCCGCTCCACACTCCCCACTAGCCCCACCACCCCTGGCATCTTTCCCTGCAACCGCAGGAAGTGCTACACCTGCCACTACACCTCCCCCCTCACCTCCATCCAAGGCACCAAACAAACTTTCCACATCAGACAGAGGTTCAACTGCACATCCATCAATGCGGTCTACTGCATCTGCTGCTCCCGACGTGGCCTCCTCTACATCGGTGAGACCAAGCGGAGACTCGGAGACCGCTTTGTAGAGCGCCTGCACTCTGTTCACGACAAATGACAACACCTTCCGGTCGCGAACCATTTCAACTTCCTCTCCCACTCCCTGGGTGACATGTCCATCCTGGGCCTCCTCCAGTGTCACAATGACACCACCTGGAAACTGGAGGAGCAGCACCTCATATCCCGCCTTGGGAGTCTACAACCCAATGGCCTAAATGTGGATTTACCAGTTTCAAGATCTCCCCATCCCCGGACCAACGCTCCCTCTCATCCATGCCTCGTTGACCTGACACAACCTGTTCGTCTTCTCTCCCACCTATCCGCTTCTCCCACCTCACTGATCAATCCCCACTACTGCCTACCTGTACTCAGCTATCACCATCCCACCTACCCTCCTCAGCCCCACCCCTCCTCTCTATTTATTTCAGAGCTCCCTTCCCCCTCCCCCATTTCTGAAGAAGGCTCCCGACCTGAAACATCAACTTTCCTGCTCTGGTCCTCCAGCTCCACGCTGTGTTATCTATGCCAGTCAGAGAAGGTTACATCAGGGTATTTGTTACCAGGCAGTTCAATAACTCTGCTGGTCTCTGTCCTTCTTAAAGGATGTCTGTTATCACTGCACACATTTGGAAGATGCACTAAAGTAGGCTAATAAACACACAATGAGCATATACAGACTTTCAATCTTTAGTCAAAATAGCACCAACTTGGTTTAGTCATGTGTTACCAACTTTCATTATTGCATTTTACAGCTATCAGTTTTAAATGGCACACCTTTGGAGTAGATAAATACCAATTAGCAGACAACAAATCTCAATCAAACTATATAACAAGCTATTAAAAAAAGGGGGTAATTCAAAATATTAGCAATGTAAATCTTGGAGAGGACTGTATTCTGCAAACATCAAACAGGAAATTAAGTACTCTGCCACCAAGCACAGAATGAGGCCAGAATTAGGAGTCCTCCAGTATTCTAACTTGTAGATATTCCCAACAGTCAACATATTTCTGCAGCACTTAAATATTTGTTTCAGCAATGACACTGTCATCCTTTTCGATCAGTGGCAGGTACCGATGTGGAACAGAGGGGCACAGGTAAGTGAAAGTGATTGGAGCCGTTAACTGATGCTGAAGCACTGTTTTGCCCAATGTGTATTAAAACAGCACCCAGATTTTCTAACATAATGACAACGAAATACTTATTCTTGCCATTTTTAGGTCCTCTGAAACTGACAGCAACTTTTGGAATTTGGACATGGGACATGTACAGAATAATCCTGAAATCCAGAAGCAACTGCCAGTGAGTACAGGGTTCTCTAGAGGTTGCACTGTTGAGGTTCTCAGACTGCATTCTCAATTCCTATTATTACTGGTGAGAAAATCTACATTATTAACGCTTTCAAGACTACCTGTAAAAATCTTCTAAAAAGCTGCATATTAAAGTAGTTAAATAGACTTTTAAATGGTGCTTAACTTCATAATAACTGTGAACCATCCTCACTAGCCTAGAGAACAGGTGGAGCTTATGGTGTTGAAACAATGCAGCAGCAAATGGATCTAAAATGAAAAAATGGAAAAAAAGATTTTTGAGACATTAATTTTATATTTGTGGAAGAGTAATTAAAAGCTCACCTTATTTTCAAAAATAATTCATTTTAAAAGTTTATGGTGTTAGTGTCAATCTTGATCATCATATTTTACTTTAGCACCTGGAAACTGGAATTAAAATTGAAGGATTTGAAGTCTTTAACTTCTTGGTTTTATGGCATCTTAATGCATCCTTGTAATTGGTTGCCTTCCTACTTAATGACATCACTGCTGCTGCACAGTAAGACAACCCTGATTTGGTCCTAGATTTAAACTGCTGTTGGGAAAGGAGAATTTCCTGCCAGAGATCTCGGAAGATTTTTGAGCTTAGCAGCCAGCATTTTTGCTTTGCCACTGATTGTAGAGTGTAGGTCAGGAATGGGAATAGAGCTTGTGATACTATTAACTCAAAAGGAGGAAGGGCAAAGAAGAGGGAGGGAGCTGGGGGTAAACTGGCATCATTCACCTTTTTCTCTTTTATCAGAGTGAAGGTCAACTGTCTTTGAATTATTCAAAATTTCTGTTCAACAGAAGATAGCCAGAAGTTGCAATCCTTATCCCTATTCTCAATTACTCCATCCTTGCTATTGCTCTGCTTCTACTGCCAGACTAGCCAGTAGTGAATCACAGAAACTCAGAATCGTTAAGGTGCAAAGGGGTAAGACACTAAACGGTGATGCTTTTTTCCCTGCATATTATTCCTATTTAAATAAGCTAATAATGCCCTCTTGCCTTCACTACACTTGTACGCAGTGCTTTCCATATCCTAACCACTTGCACTATGACAAGGTTTTTCTCATCACATTTACTTCTTTCGTGAATCACTTTATATCTGTTTGCTTTCATTCTCGATTCTTTTACAGTCAAGACAGTTTCTCCTTTACTCTTTCCAGACCTCTCATGACCTTGCAAACTTAAATAAAATCATCAGCCTCTTTTCTAAGGGGAAAAAAAAAATCAGTGTAGTCTGTAGACTTATACTTCTCTAAAAGTAAGCCCTTTGTCATGGACATAAAATCCCTAACATGCACCCGCTGCAAACTAAATACGTATGTAATCATTTTGCTTCTTTACCAATGCAAACTACCAAAAGAGGGAAAAATGCAACCTCAAAAATCCTTTATACTTAATATGCAAAAACATAGAGATGATTTTCTTGAGACAAAAGGGAAAGATGCAAGGATTTGACAACAAGAAAAGTAAGAATTTAGGATGGAGAGAACGTGAAGCAAATAAAGAAAAAATGACTTAGAATCAAGTTTAAAAAAAGGACTTGGCAGTGGGAAAGAAGTCAATAGGAACAGTAAAATGCAAAAAGTTAACAGAATCATTACTCATGACAGTGTAACAGAGAAATTACAAAAGAGAATCAGGAAAGTGCTAGCAGTTCTTGCCTGATGAGCTGTAATGTGCAAATTTTGTTCAGCAAATCTTGCGTGGCTCTAAGAGTAATAGTCTAGTGTAAAAGGATGAGCTGTATTAACGGGTGAACAAAAAAAAAAAAAAATGCTTACTCTCAGTAAGAATTCAAACTTTTCTTTTGGATAAGTCAAAGCCTACATCCATCATGTGGAACACCCCTGGATTGCAAACCCCGTAACTTATTCCTTGCACAGGTTTGCTCCTGCCAGCAGATGTAAAAAATATCAACTTCAAATAGCATATAGGGAAACAGATGAAACATAAAATTCTCAATTCATTAAATAAAGTCCACACTGTTTAATTTACTGTCTGCAAGCTGCAACTACTTTCATTTGCTGGATCATTGCTGAGAGGATGATGCCAATATCTGACATACAGGATGTAATCAAAACAAGGTTTCTCCAAAAGGACAGATCTGAGCAAAATAAATTATTTTTAGCTGCTGCTGTACAACACATTCAGGTCTGCACGGTTTCTATAGCAACGGGCTAATCAGGACAATCATCACTCCTAACCCCTGCCTTCCTTCTCCTCAGCAGTGAAGTATTTAGTCCGTGACCTTGCTTGTTTGAGCAAAACTGATCAATATTCAGCTGTCTGCTAATCCCAAGACAATTCCTCAGACTCTCCCTTATCTAAACATTTCTCCTTAATGCTCCTTGGCTCAATTCCTGCTGTCACTGCAGAACTGTCAAGCTTTATATCTCAGTCAGATTTCATTTAATGACCTGTGGTCAGCACAGGGATGATTTCTCTTCAGCTTTCCTATGCAATTAACTCCAGTCTTAAGATGGCCCCACATCAAATCCAGTAAGTTTATATTTAACAGAGTAAGTTAATAAAACTTCCTTCTGCTGTTTAACTTCATTTGAAAAAGATACATAAATTGAGTGAGCCAAATAAAACCAAGCTCAGTTTTAAATAAATGGCAAAAAATACAAATAAAAAAAAGTTAATTCAGAAAATGTTGTAAAGGTACAAGATGCACCTCTATCTGAATGTCCCACTTCATTCAGGATAAAATCTATCTCCACTTAAATAATCTGACTTGTTCCTTTAGTGATAAGAACACATTCCATCCTCAATAAACAGGTGAATGAACTCTTGAAGATGCTGTGCCTATCATGTGCATTTAAAAAAACCCAATCTTCTCAGAGGCAAATCTATACAAGTATATTTATCACTCTAAAATGGTGAGCAGAGAAACCCTCCCCCAGGATCACTTTGTTTGTAACACTACACTGGGACTCTCTCTCACCAGCAGAATACAATACAGGAACTGGGCATACTTACGCTTGTGACCTTCACTTCTCAAGACTGGTGGTGAATGGGGCTCCGAATCTCGGTCATCATCTCCTTCCTCATCAGCTAAATGAGTATGAGCATAATGATAACTAAGACCAGGACGGTTCTTGTATCGCTTGCCACAGACTAGTGACAAAAAGAGGAAGATAAAGTAGTAGCATGTTAAATCATATACAATCAACTATATCAGGTACATATTTTAATCAGTGCCTTTTCTTAAAAAATTCACGTCAGTAGAGTGAAGTAACAGTGTATCATGAATAGAAAGTAAAAATACACGAGGTAACTTAAAAGCAGGCAAGAAGCAAATCACTCCAGCTGCAGTCTATGCACAGTTACTCATAGACTGAAAGTACCTTTGTCAGATGTTTTTGAGTTATGCTTTTGTTTGTAACTATCTGAAACAGAGAAGAAGAAACAAGAGAAAAAGGAGTGAATTTCACAGAAGACAGATATAAAAAGGTAGCAGACCAGAGAGGAGAAGAGACACTTTTACCACATGCAAGAGCAGGGGTTGTCCAAACGGAGCAGCAAGAGGCAATTTTGACTTGTAATCACTGTGTGGCATTACTTACTGTCACACACATATGGCTTATCGTGGTCTTCTTGGGCAGTGGAATCAGTTCTTTTTCTACCACCGACACCACGTGTCTGTATATTCAAGAACAGGATGTAAAGTTAGGACATGGTATATCCAAATAAAATTACATTAAATATACTACTCATCAACTTAAACACCACAGTCAAAGTACAACTAGGATTACAAAGGCATATATTTCCGCCTGTATTTGGAAAGGTGTGCTTTCGTGAAATTATAGGTTTGTGCAAGTTCATGATTATTTCCTCAAAAGAATTTTGAGCAGTGTAGTTGAACCACAGCAGATCGAGGTCAGTCAGTGCCAGAGGTAGTGGTGGGAACAATTTGATCTGCTTAATGAGTACTATAGACAAACAGAAGTTTAGTAGTTTAAAATTTGAGGTTTCCTTTATATTTTCAAGTACCAATATGCTATAAATTACCAACACAGAGAAAGTAGAGTTACTGAAAGTGAGCTCCAAGAAATACTTACTACAAAAATTAGGAAACCAAAGCTTAGATTACAAGAGATAGTAGGAACTGCAGATGCTGGAGAATCCGAGACAACAAGGTGCAGGGCTGGATGAACACAGCAGGCCA